GACCGGCCCACCATTATAGGAAAAATCATGAAGGCTTTGAATGAAAATAAACGCTGTTGTGACAGTGATGTATACTGTCCTGATGGTATATATGTATCAATCTATCAATTGTTTGTTGCAAGACTCAGATAATTATTTTTTTAAAAGTGAGACATTTTAAATGAGAATAAGAAAGTATTTCCTTGTGCCCCCCTTTCCCTTTTAATGCCCTACATGGCCCCCTGGCAACACTTTGCTAGAGCCGCCCCTGCACAGTTACCAGTTGTCAGCTACTTAGAAACGGATCCTGTTGTTATTTGTCTCTCGGAAACAGTTCATAACTTCTCTTCAACTCATTCATGTTAACTAAAAGGTAAACCTGTTTCTCCATCACAGCTCTGATGATCCAGTAAGGACATCTCCTGGTTTCATCTTCATGTTTCCCTCTCACCAGATAACCAAACCATATCATGACCAGCAGCTTTACAGCTGTGGCTCCAGCCAACATCAGCTGATACTAGAAATTAATATTAAATAAATTCTAACAACAGCTGATCAAGCTTAAAAGTGCTGTTGTTGACATCCGCTGGTTTCCTCTTTCTGGCGCGAAGTGGGCGATAAATAAATAAGAGAGAAAAGCCGATCAGCTGATCATTGATCAGTTTCATGACTGAAGTAGAAACAGGAGAGGGAGGGTGAGAGGATGAGAGGAGAAGAGGCAGCTGTGCAGCGTAAACACAGAATAACTTCAGCTTTGTGTCTTTTTCATTGTAGCTGAAGTCCGGGACAAACTGTGTTCCTTTTCACCTCAATACGAAACGTGTAATTCTGAATACCAGACGATTCCGTTTTTTACGGGACGGTTGGCAACTCTAATAATTAACCTTATGAACAAAATAAAGTTCAACATCAGTAACATAGCACCACCCAGCTGTATAGAAACTCCATCATGCTAGCTAGCACGCAGTACGAAAAAGTCAGCATAACGAAAATAAACTCCACCTACACTTGGTTCATATCTGACCCAGATGGACTGCAGGTCATAACTTCTTACCTGAAGTTCAGTTCACCTGACACTCGGACCAGCGGCCGCTTCGGGTCTCTCCTCTTGCCTCCCTTTTCCTTCATCCACCTGCTGGCCTCCACCACTTGTTAATGTTATTGAATCTGTGGAAGCTCCGCGATAGCCACCACACGAAGTAACGGATAACGAGCCTATCTAAATCCCAGTAACGAGTAACGCGTTCCCGGTTTTGGCATAATAACTAGTTACCGTGCTCGTTACCACAATAATAACGTAGTTACTGTAACGCGTTACTTAATAACGCGTTAGTCCCAACACTGGAAATGACTGAGAGTGAACCTTTACTTTCTTCTTGTCTACACGAAGCTACACGACCAGAGTTCTTGCAGCATTAGACCTGGAGGAAGATAAATTCTTTATGATACTGGAGGTACTAAGAGTGATTTAACAGGAAGAAATATAAAAACAAATATCCTCTCATTCAGATGTTGTGCTCAGCAGAGGCCTGCAGAGATCACGACAGAAGCAAAGAAGGATATAATGTGATGTTCGAGTGGGTAGGAGGCTGGTGTGGACAAAACTTTGGGCTTCAAACTGTCACGGTCCTGGGTCGGTGACCCAGTGTTTTGTGTTATTGTTAATCTTTGATTTCATCATGATTTATCACTGCTAGTTTGTTGGTTTCCGTTTCAGTATTTATAGCTCCCTCAGTTCTTTAGGATTTGTACAGCTGACAATAAAGGCTCATTTTTTGTTATCATTCCACCCTTATTTCCATTTGCCTGTACTTGGGTCCCCAGTCTCCCCACGCCTCATCGTCTGCCTCGCCAGATGTGACACAAACATCAATCCCTGACAATCCCTGAAACTTTCAGCAAACGATTATGTTTTACTCATTTGGTGTCTACATCAAACCAAATCATTCCCATAGCACAATTTTCTGTTTTCTCCGCGGTATACGCCTACAGGTCACGCGTGTGGAGGGGAGGCTGATAACACGTTACATTTGGACTTTTTTAAAACTTTTGAATAAAGTCTATTCAGCAGCACAACTCATATCTCACACTGTGTCCTCCCATTAAAATATGACCACGCCATCCCTGACAGCATGTCATGCCGGCAGGCACTGAGTTTGACAGTTAATTATTGGCTCATATTGTCAGTGACAGTGCCAAAATAATAATATGTTTTCTGTTGTCTTGCTGTCAAATAAATGAGTCCAAAAATGAGCAGATGTTAAATAAATTGCGTTTGTTTGAGTTCACTGAAGGTGGTTCTGATCCTGGCGTCTCTCTCTTTAGTTTGGATCACTGCCTTTTTGGATGATCAGACACATCCATCTGTAACTGAGAGGGAAACTCCTCACTGACTTCACTGTTTGTTTGAACACTTACGAAGGTGAAAATCGGACTTTAAAAACAGCCTTTGTGCTTCAAGTACTCCGAGATTTCTGTTTTCTTCTGGTGTAAAATAGCAGGGAGCCAAAGGATGTCCTTTAAAGGTTACACTGGTGTTACTCGATATTTTCTCTTTAAACAATACAACACGAGTAGAAAAAAACCCAACATTATTTCAGCTTGTTCTGATCTTCTGTCTGTTGCTCTCCTACCGACAGTGTGAACCTTCAAGCGCTGTTCTCAAATGGATAATTTTGTTTAGGTCTACAGATGTGGTTATTTGCAAGAATAAAACATGTTGTTCACTCTGTCGCGTACATGTTAGCAAGGTTACATATTTTAAATGACGCTGTGTGTGAAGAAAAAGGAAATGCACTCGGGACTCCCCAACGCTCTTTAGTGGCATCATTAGTGACGGCGGGTGCTGGCAGTGCTCTTTAAAGCGTCTTTATAGTGAAAGCAGGAAGATTGCATTTTACCACATGGCTATATTTAGAGTGAGCTAACAGTCTGAGACGGTCCCACCACCACTGGAGCCGTTTTTGGCTAACCTCTGGAAGCTATTTTGGTGACTTGTCTTTTTCTACACCAATTAATTTGGAGTGTGACTTACTGGCATGACATGAAACAGCTTACAGTGCAGTAACCAATTCAGGGAAACACTGAACAGCATAATTGCACTTTATCAAAAGGGATGATGCTGTAAATACATATAGTAAAGCTCAAACCAGACTACTTTTTCCATTTTATTATTATTTTATTCTAAGATTTCTACACTATCTTCCACATTTTTACCTTTAAATCTTTTCATCTCATTATTTTGAACAGGGGTAAATTGAGTTATTATTATTATAACTGCGTCTCATTTCTAGAAACAGTTGAGGATGAAATGTCAACACACAAACGGGAGCAGGCTGTGAGGAGTTAAGCAGCTGTGGGCAGATAAAGATCCGACCATGATTTCAGACTCTCTGTTGAGTTGGTGTTAAAGGGTTAAAAAAAGCTCATTTGAAACACGGAGAGGAAACTGAGCAGAAACAACCCTTCTTTAGGAAAGGTGTGCTTTCTCATTAGCTCCACCACATCTAAGCGGTTACTCGTTGCTTGTGCATACTGAACTAAAATGAAGTTAATTGCTACCAATTGTGAAGGGAGCTGCACGCCTACTTCTTATTTGAGGCCAGCCATTTTAAAAAATATGAACAACTGGACTAGAAAAGACATTCAAGTCAACCCGACATGGCTGTTTCAGGGAACCTTTGTTACTCACTTGTCTCTTCACAGAGTTAAAGAAATGTAGTATTAGTATTAAAGCTCAAATAATCAGGCCCCATTTTATCTTAATGACCTTGTAGTACCATCACACTTGTTGTTTCTAGAGAATTTAAAAGTAGAATGGGAGGGAGAGCCTTCAGTTTTCAGGCCCCTCTTCTGTGGAACCAGCTTGCAGTTTGGATTCAGGAGACAGACACTATCTCTACTTTCAAGATTAGGCTTCAAACTTTCCTTTTTGCTGAATCATTAGGGCTGGACCAGGTGACCCTGAATCCTCCCTTAGTTATGCTGCAATACGTGTAGGCTGCCGGGGGATTCCAATGATACACTGTGTGTTTTTTCTTCTCTCACTATGTGTTAATAGACGTCTATGCACTGAATCATACTGTTATTAATCTCTAGCTCTCTTCCACAGTATGTCTTTTATTCTGTCTTCCTTCTCTCACAGCAACTGGTCACGGCAGATGGCTGCCGCTCCCAGAGCCTGGTTCTGCTGGAATTTTCTTCCTGTTTAAAGGGAGTTTTTCCTTCCCACTGTTGCCAAAGTGCTTGCTCATAGGGGGTCATATGATTGTTGAGTTTTTCTCTGTACGTATTTTTGTAGGGTCTACCTTACAATATAAAGTGTCTTGTGTGTTGTTGTGATTTGGCGCTGTATAAATAAAACTGAATTGAATTGAATTGAATTGAATTGAAAAGGTGAACCAGGCATTAATTAAAGACTTGTTGCAGTGGATGTGACTAAGGCTGAGGAGCTGTTCTGGGGGAACTCTGCCTTTTGCTCTGACCACCTCACATGACCCTGATGTGGATAAGTGGTTGAGTGTACACATGTATGCTCAGCAGGACGGGTGCTGCAGAGTCTGACTCTCTTAAGGAGAAATATGGAAATGAAATGAGAAATGTAGAGAAAATTTCTAGCCTCACCAACCATTCAAGTCTCTGAATGGTTGGTGAATGGTTGCTCCATGTCACCACTTTATCTGCTTCAGACTCAGCAGTGAAGCTAATGTGCTACTGTGCAGGTCTGAGGCAGAATAAGGGGAAAATCACTGAAAATTCAGAAAATCACTGCCTTGACAAAACAGTGAAAGTTAATCTTATTCGTGGACTGAAGCTGCTGCAGAAGCCTCCCACCCACGGCCCTGCTAAAGCTGCACGCACAGAGCTTTGTTTATCCTTTGGACAGATTATAGACAACTTCTTTTCTCGGCTTTGTTTTGTTATCACATTTACGGCAGTAAACTTTATCGCAACACTCCAATGTTTCATTACAGAGGAAACAAAGCCATAAAATGTTTAATTTTGTTCTCTCGCAGACTCACCTCGGGGTGTTGATCCAGACGATGCCAATGTGACAGAAAAAAATGCACTCTTTGTCTTTCTGGTTCTCGCAGGAGCAGCGTTTCTCTCGCCGGTGAGCCATATGGGGGAGCTGCACTGGGGGGCCATCCTCCAGCACAGAGCTCGAAACAGAGAGGGCTGGAACACACAGGCAGGGCAGGGTTATCGGCTATTAATGATCATCTACTCAAGTATGCAGCGATTCTGCTGCTTTGTCATGAGTGGATGAATGAGAGATGTTTGCATTAACTTGAGATTTGAGTTCAGAATTCAAATTTTTACTGCCAATTCTGTTTAGATCAATATTAATGAAGAAGCCGTGTGAAACAGTTCTCATCTAAAGCTGGTGTTGAGGAGAGAAGCAATCATATTTTATCCACATGTCAGTCTCTTTGTCTCTTTTCTTTACATTTTTGCTGATGATGATCTGTTGTACCTCGAGGTGGAAACATACATTAAAAACTGCCTACACAGCACGTGAATTCCTACAGGTATGTACGTGTTTCAAATGCAAAGAGACGTGAAGCATCAACAGGAAGAGTGGGAATACTGTGGGATCCTTACACTGTGAGCTTGCATGTGCAATTGCCACTGATAATTTGCAAATGCCTAAAAACAATAGACTGTATATAAATTCTGTAGTCATTTTAACAGGACCCATTGGGCAGGTCCAGTGCAAAAAAGCATACGCCCCCTAGTCTGAAATACGAGGATGTATTAAATAAGCATGGCCACTGGGACACGTCAGGAAAGTGTTTACTGGGGCCGTGTATCAACTGAGCAGTAGGGTCAGTTTCTCATAGACCTAAAGAAAAAATGGACATTGCATCCAACTTTCATTCCTATATACTTCCAGTTATTATATCCAGAAACTATAACGCCAGGGTTTGCTCACATCACCAGCCCTGGGGCAGATTGGAAAACTGGTAAAACATGAGACTGAAAATATTGGTTTTAAGATCTAGACTGGGTACAGATATTAATGTTTAAATTTGTATGGTGGTTTATTATTCATTTTATTTTCATTTGCTGGTAATAAGAAATGTCAACATAAATCAACAGGATACAAACGATGGATGGTGAAGACGGTAAACATTAAGAAAGTTCAGATACCCACCATGAGCAGCTTCAAGAGCGGCTTGCATGGTGGTAGAGCCGACTGCAGGATTATAAGTTAATGCATCAACAAAGAGATCCAGCCTGTTGGGGCCATGAATGCCTTTTAGAAATTTCATGGCAATCAATCCAGTACCTGTAGAAATAGCTACTCTTAACCTAACTAGTTCATTCACTCACAGGTTTTCCTTGGGTGCACAACAAAGGAAAGTCTGTGTGCAGCTTTTACTTTGTTAAAGTCGGAAATTACTTTATTCAATTTTATAGCCTCAAGGTCTTCATCAACACCCCAGAAAAGCACATTCACAGCTACAGTCACATGACACCATGCCCTCCAACGGGCCTGGTGTGTTTCCGATAAGAGAGCCAGAGCCGTCATTGCCTTTGTTTTTGTCACCGGAGCGTCGGAACAACTCCCTGTTCCTTCCCACTTAACTTAACACAACTCCCTTAGCATGAATGACATGTAATATTGTACCTGAACATAGACTTACAAACACAAAGACACATGTTTAAAAGCACACGTACACACAGAGAGCCCATAAAGCAGGCAGAACCCACAGACGGCCTTTGATCTTGTTCTCGATGTGCATGAGAGAATGTTTAGGCGTCCAAGAGGGATTTACACGATTTACACGTGGGAGCAAAATAACACCTTTTCTCACAATAAACTTAGGTGTAGCTCTGTTCTTCACCCGGCTGTGTCCCAGAGAATCACATTAGGTTTTTATTCATGCACATTTTCCAAAGAAAGTTCATAAATGCTCACATTTCAACTAACCCCAGCCATCATCAGCAGGATGAGCATTCTCAGACACACCAGTCAGTGGAGGCCCTTTTACTACAATAAGCATCCCAGTAAAACACTTCTCGAGCAACATTTTCAAAATACTTTTGGGGGATGCTGAGATTTATAATCTCTCCAGGATTTTCTGGGACTACCCGGAGGTAAACCAGCACGGAAAACCTCCAATAAAAGGCAACCTTAAATGGCTCTTTTTAAGTGGCAGATTCCAGATGCCAAAACTTCTTGCTCTGTATCTGAGACTGAGCCTAGCCCGCCTATGCTCAAATCTAATTTTGCGTCACATTTTTAACACATATGCATGTGCACTTTGCACTGATACAGAGCATTTTGTATATTCTGAGCAGCAGGGTGCTGTCATGGAGGAGTGAGGAGGTTTTATTTAGGCAAGTACAGACCGGGAACCACACAAAGCTACCTGCTGCTGTTTGCAACGTCATGTCGAAGTTATGTGTGTGTTTTTGCACACCTGAATGCTTCAGTGCCAGACGGACACATCTGTCAGCACAGCAGCTTTCTGCCAGACATCATTACGATATCAGACACAACACGATGAAGAGGATAATGGATCTCCTGTTCTGCTTTACTTCACAGTGCTCGGATCTTATTTTTAACCCACGGTCTTTGTGGTAATGCCAAAGTATATTCTGAAAAGGATCTGTGATGACTTTCTTTAAGAGGAAACCTTCGGACTGATTGAAACACTGAATGTGAATAAAATGCCTTGACAAGAAAACTCTACAAAATGTAAAATGATTTTAATCCCAGTTTAGCTTCAACTTCCTAATAGCACTTCAGGCTTGATCCAGACTTCCTGACCTCACAGTGGGGTCGACACCACAGATGTTTCACATCACCTTACTGGTTGGTAGAAACTGAGCTGAGGCGTGATCAGCGGAGTTTCAGTCAAAGCAAGAATGTCAAATAAAAAACTGAATCTTTGTTTAAAGATAAAAACAACTGTTAATCTGACAGAAGAAAAATGACCTGTAAAGTGTCCTTCCTCTTTATGTAACTGAAGCTGGTGAAAGTACACCAGGAATTATATTTATTATTAGTTATTAGTCAAGGTAAAATAAAAAAATCAGTTCTGCTTCGGTTAAAAGTTTTTGGGAAACTTCTCGTCTCAGTGTTTCTGTATCTGGAGTTTTGCAGCAGGAAGGCACATTAAACAAACACATTATCCAAACTGGTTTGCACAGTTACTTCTCGGGCAGCCAAGTCCAACTCACCTGAACTGAGGGACTTTCTCGATACTGAGGCTTGAATCCATTTGGCATGGAGATTTCACACTTTTTATCCATGGTCCTCACATTTCCTCCTAAAAACACACATGCTTGAGTGTGACCTTTACGTACTGTACATAGACGAGGTTAGACAAGCAGCTTAGAGGTTTCAATCCTGGCCTGCATGAGGAAACAGTCAAATAATGCTGCCTCTCAGATGACTTCAGAGATTTGTCAGGTTAAATCTCTGTCATCAAAACTAAATTCCTCAATAAAGACTTTCAACTGCTTGAAAGGCCACTCATTTGCATCGAAAGCTAAAAAGACAATATGACACTAACCAGTTTCACATTTTGTGATATTGAATTATCATGTTCCTATTTAGTCATTATTATTCATCTTTTCCGAGGCTGTGCCAGAGGATGACTGAGTGAGTGTTGCTTCCAAAATGTCACTTTGGAGCACTAATGTCGAGTCCAAAGGCCAGAAATATGCCAGAAAAAAAACAAACTGGCATCAACGTCGACCTTGCCTCTCTCAGTTTGAACACGTGGCACCCAGCTGTGCGGTGGCTCGAGTTTCTCCATCATTGCTTTTATATTCTTTAACAGAATATATAATACACATGTTTTATGTGTATGTACAGCATCAAAGATTGATGTACAGATGCAACCAGCCTCGCTGGTTTGCATCTTTTGAACAGGGAGATGTCTCCATCGCTCATTTGTCCTGTAAACCTCTGATTAAGTTAAGACATCTGACTGAAGACAAAAGAAGCAGCTTGTTGTAATTACTGCAAAATCGGAGACATGGACACTGATTGAGCGGTCTGCAGAAAGGATAGAATAATACTAATAATGACAGAGTGCAGCGTGCAGATGTTTGCAGCACTGAGCGTATCGCGAATCCTCAAGTTTGTCGGGGGAAAAAAAAGTGAACTTTTCAGTGCCACCACCTGTCGGTGCCTTTCGCTTCATCCTCACTAATGTTTTGATTTCAGGCTGAGATCTGTCAAGAAGAAAATTGAAATATCATTTATCATTTTTATTTTATCATCGCAGCCTTCTTTGAACTTATCACCTTATTTAATTAAATACTCCTTTTTGTATGACAAAGGCCAAGATTTTATGACTATATCATAAAGACAAAATGACCTCTGCTGAATGAGGTAAGGACAACCTCCTGGGGCAATTTTAGGCCACCTAAGGGTTATAGTTAGGGGTCTGATATTGACTGATGGTGGACACTCAATGGATCACTCACACTCACACTGGGTTGGTGCACAGTCTCAAAGATGTTTGTGTTAATTACAATGCTCACAAACCTGCAGAGACAGAGGAAATACAGGGACTGCTAAGTCTGCTTAGGCTGAGCATCTTTAGTTGATTCCAGATGTTTTTCAAACCTTCAAGTTTCAGGCTTTGTTTGTCTTGGGCAGAAGCCAATGAGAGCTAAGCATCTAACTGTGCCAGAAATAAACGAACAAAAACTGGGTGGGCATCAGAGCTTCTCGTGTTCATTCAATCACAAGCAGAAAATATCTAAGAGGAACGTGTCATAGAGAACAAAAGTAAAATGAAAAGACAATTTAATTCACGAGCTGGGTAAGAAGTCACATCATGTATCACAAAAGTGATACATGAGTTTATTCTTCCTGCAGAGCTCACTGTGTGGAACAAGGTGCCAAAATGTTCAGTCAGCACCTTGGGTTCGGTTCTTGTCTGGTTAGTGTCATTTCCAGAACCTGAGTTGCAAACTGATGCTTTCTGCCACTAAAACATCATAATGTGAGCTTTGAGAATCTTAATATCAGTCTTAGTAAACATTTGAATCCATAATTCAGATCCATCAGTCGTTTGCATATCAGGGAACATTTCAAAGCAGCTGTGACAGATAAAAGTAACACAAATACAATACAAAAGAGACCATGAACGTGATGCTCTTAATGAATGCCAGAACAATACTACTACTACTAATAATAATAATAATAA